GACATTTTGTTTCAGAGTGTTTGATGCGTAGGGTGTTTGTGTATTTGTTTACAAACTGTATGTCTATTTGTAAAGGTGTGTCCTATTGTTGCTGTGTTGTCAGATATTTACACGTGTTTCTGTTGTGTATTTGTCGTGTAGTTTGTAAATGTCACGTCGGCACGTGAGTGTGTTATGCTGTTGTATGCTGTGGTGTTGATAATTGGTACGTGTTTATTGGTTATTTCGACGTGCTGCTATGTAAGTGTTTGTTGTGTTGGCAAGTTGGCTACACGTTTTGTTGTTTATGCTGTTTGACACGTGTCTGTCTGTTTGTAGTGTTGTGGTGGTATTGTGTTGACGTTATAACGAATCTAAATGATTGATTAATATCGAATAAAGGATGTGAGTTCAGCCGCGTTGTTATTAGCCTCTAAAGTGGGTATGATTTCCAAGATAAATCTTCATGATCTTGCCGGATGGTGTAGTCTTCTTAAACTTCACGACCAAAAGCTTGTTACTGATAAGGTGATCAACTGATCGAAACAAATTGATCTACATTAAATTTTGGTCGAGGCTAATGATCTTCGATACGCTTTTTTCAATGTTTTAGGAGATCGATCGTTGGACCCGAGCTATAAGAAATGCAGAAAGTGCAATATTCGAAGCACAACATCTCACATGCTTTGATATTGAGCTTCCTTATGCATATCTATTCGAAATTTGCAGCAAGGCTTCAGGTATGACTGTTTAAACCGTAAGGATTCTGTTAGTTTGAAGGTTAAAATTTATAATTTTTCATGAATTTAGGACTTGGTAGAGAATTGAAGGCAAAAATTTCTTCCGAAGCTTACGCCTTTATAGAAATTAGGTATAAATAACACTTTTAAGAAAAATTTTTTTGATAACCAATTCTGTTTAGTGACCGAATTTACGTAATGGAACAGCATGAAGACACCGATCATGTTGTTTTTTAGTCCAGGCACTGTCGCAGCTGCCGCGTGGTGGCTGGCGTCCAAATCTGTGGATTGTCCCCAAAACGATGACCCAACAACGAATAAGCTTTGGTGGTGTACGGTTGATCGTCCAAGGGATTTGTATGCTATTTCTGGTGAGTATACGCAGTATATCGATAGCTGTGTATTTTTGGCGGTGACCATTTTCATGATTTTACATCAATAATAAATCTAGCCGCCGTCGATTATATGTTGCAAGCATACAGTAAGGGCGTGACCATAAAAAAAAAGGTGAGTCACTTATTATAAAAAAATATTTATTTATTTATTTAATGTAAAATAAGAATATGAGGAACTAACAAAGTTTCTAGGAGAATTGTACCCACCCGAAATTCTGTGAGAAAAACCCTATTCATTTTGAATGCACGTACTTCTCCGTCGAACGATCCTCACATCAGAAATAACCATTAAAGATTCACAATGTAGAGCAACGGTTTCAAAGTAGATTTGACACGTGCCTGCTATCTAGCTTTGCTGTTGAAAAAAAAAGACATTTCTTGATGATTTTTTCCGTTACCTTTAAGGTCATGTCTAAAGTGATCTGGTTATTCAAAAGCAATTTGAGTTTTTAAATAGCGTACGAGAATTTTGATAGTTATTAAATGACCTTGAGAGAATTTGAATGCTTCTATCAAATTGCACAGCTTATGAATATATGTACCGCACGCATTCATCACAATAAATGCCGTTTCAATTTAAACTCGCTAAACTTAAGCATGCACCAGATAATAAATTACATCTCTTGCGCGTGTTGACCCAACTGATTTAAACATTTTAATTTATAAATAAAAAAAATTAAATTAAAAATAATTTAGTTTGGTTTCATTTTCATATTTTTTACGGGATTGCATAATAAAAAAGTTAATATGTTGAAGTAACGTAGAGGAAGTACTGTGCGCACATTTCGTTCCATGAACAAAAAGAACGCTTTATGGTTGTTAAATAAGTGAGTATTCAGCTGAATAATTTGGTAAAATTAGTCTGTGAAATATTGTGCATCCGCTAAATGCGAATGTATAGAATTTTGTGTTCTTAATTTTTTATGCATAAATTTTTTATCTTTTTAATCAAATTATTTTTTTGCATCATGTGAAATCAGATAACAAAGTTAAACTTGCATAAATCTTCATAGCTTGAATGCTCAAAAATTCGTTTTAGTCGGTCTCGTATAAAGAACTTTTAAAGATATCTTAAATTTCCGAAAAAAATTTCAATATACACAGTACCGGCACAGAAAATTGTCAAATTTTATATCAAGTCATTACATAAATTTGAATTTTATTATTATTAAATATAATAAAAGTTTGTTTAATTATTTTTAAAAAATTCAATATAAAAAAAAAATATATATATACAATTAAAAATTAATAACAAATGAAATTTGAATAATTTAAAAATCAATGTTTAAAAATATTTATTATGATTTAATAAATTACCATATATTTTAATAAAACAATATATATCTACAGTATATTATGATTCCGAAAATTGGAATTGAACAAAATTGTAGGGAATTGCATGAAATTCAGAATATTATTAAAAATAATGGTGGGGTATATCCCACCTATTAAATGTAATATAAACTTGAGAATCAAATACAGAATCAAAGAGAATTGTTAGGATCCTTAATCTATATTTATATTATTTATTTAAAAAAATCTTAGATATAAATTAATAATTTGAAAAAAACTTATTATTTGTGTAACAATACAAATGGTGAAAGGAGTGCCACAATATATGTCACACAAGTGGCACAGACAAGCCAATAGAAGGA